AAGAACTTTGAATGTTTTGTAATGGTTAAGTAGCAAGTACCAAGCCGGGTCAAGGTACTTGCAAGTCAGAGGATTTTGGACAAGTACTTGATAAAGCAAGTACTTGCTTTGAACAAGTCAAGTATCATGCCGAAATTTGTGTGACTTGAACAAGCCAAGCCGGGCCACAAGTACTTAAAAATTAGCAAGTACTCGGCTTGTGCCCACCCCTAACAAAAATGCCACATTTTCAAAAAATTTACAAAAATGTCGCTTTTTCAAAATTATTTTTCATTATATAATTTATGTTTGGGTTAACTATGTTGTATTAAAGTTTAGTTTTGAGTGTTTAGTGGATTTTAGGGGTCAAAACATTTTTAGAGTTTAGAATTTTAAGATATAGGCTTTATAAATCTATAATTAGTGGCATATTTGCAAATGGACACTCTTAAGTGGCATTCTTGCAAATGTGCACACAAAAAGTGGCATTTTTGCAATTGCCCCCTTTTTCTTTTGAATTAATTTTTTTTCATATTTCCAAATAATTAGTTTCTTCTATTCCTTATTGAATTAGGTTTATTTTATTATCATATATTTATTTTTCCAAAACCTTAACGAATTGAATTTCATATTTTTAGTTGCAAACTAAATTTGCAAATTTCAATAAGATTTCTTTCACAAATTGATTCCCAAATTTTGCAAGAATCTAAACCATCTAGTGATGTAAAAAGCTTTAAATAGTATTTTTATGCGTTAAAATAAAATCAAATTGTAGTTAGATATTATTCAAATAATTAGTAATACGTTAAGACTTTTATAGATATAAAATAAAAATACGCTAACCTTTTCATCAACTAATATAAATTCATTCCTATAAGGGCATTATTTTCTTAATATTATTCTTCTCTTACTTTCTATTAAGACTTAATACACTATGATGGTAAACACTTTTTGTATTTAAGTATAATTAGTAATACATTAAGACTGTTATTGATATACAATAAAAATATGCTAATTTTTTCATCAACTAATATAAAGTCCATTCCGATAAGCTCATTATTTCTTTTAAATTTTTTTGTTGCTCACTTTCTAATAATACATACTACAATACGATGATAAACATTTTTTTTATTTAACTTGTCTAATGTTAAATAAGTCGTATTTTTGATGATAATAATTTATATATTGTATTTATCAATTAGATTTTTTAATTCTAAAGTAGAAAATCATGTAATTTTTTTCATGGGAATATTCTAATATAATGTAAAATCTTTTTAGTTTAAATAGACTTAGGTTTTACTACGACGATTTATCCAAATGTCAAAAGATTTATCTATTTAGAATAATAATATCTTTATTTGTAAAATAGTGAAAAGTAAACCTATTTTAAATAGGATTATGGAAATTTTGAAATATGTGATTTAATTTAATTAAAAAATAATACGTTTCAAAACCTAATTTAAATGGGATTAGGAAAATTTTGAAATATGTGATTTAATTTAATTAAAATAAAA